CTGGAATATGTATTATTATTTTTTATTTAAAGAATATTAAATACACATTTACTTTCTTTTAAAATGTATTCTAAGATATTTATGCAATACTTTAAAAAAAAATTTAAAAACTTAACAACTTTCTTTTTTTTTTTTTTGGCCAAGCGTTTAATTTTTATTCGGTTTCAGCCACAAAATTTTCATTTCAGTGAATCCCCTCTTCTGGCTCCATCAGCTCTAATTGACTTTACATTGGAAAATGGTCACCCCTCTCTCTGTAACTTCTGCTGTGAGCCTCGGCCTTTTAACCTGCTCTACAAGATCCTGGTGTTTTATTTCGCAATTCCCTCCGTTAATAAAAAAATTTAACATTTTTATAAGGAACTTGGCTCCAGATTCGCTGAGCTTCATTTGACTGGAGCCGCATGCTAAGGGTGATGTGACATCCCTTGGTCCAAGTTTCTTTATGCAGTCTATGGTTCAAAGTTAAGATTTTAAAAGCAAAACAAAAATGGACTGAAATATGAACTGACAAACTAATAAAAGAATCACATTTCAGAACGTATTTGTACAGATCTAAACTAAAGGGTTAGCAGTTTTTATACAGATTAAAGCTGATGTTTGTTGTTTGTGGAGGGAATTATGGTAGTAAAAAAAATACTTAGAAGAGTATTTTGCTTAATTCACACATGTTTAACACACAAACAATGCATATTTAGGCTGAGCTCTTTTCGCAAACTGAAAACTTGCCCATCAGCGTCAACTGTTCTTCCAAAAGATGTTCAACAATGAGAACTGGGGACGGCTTTATAAGAGAATGGATGGTGGATTAAAAGGATAACTTAAGTCTTAAAGGTCCCATATTACGCGCAACTGACTCTTGTGAGCTTGTTGTGTTCTGTTCTACCTTGTGATGTCATGTAGCAATACAAGGAATGCTTCACTGTTTTTTTTTTTTTTAACTCCATACACCTTCACTAGGTTCATTTGGATAATTTGAGCCAATCTCTACTGAATTTCCAATTGCCAATCTCTACTGAACTAAAGATACTGTATTTTCTAGGCTATTAGGCACTCTGGATTATAAGGTGCTCTGTCATTAAATGGTCTTTTAATGAACTTTTTTTTTCAACTAAACTGCACTGGACTTTAAATGAAACACAACAGTTGGATGGGTCAGTGGTTTTGTTTGTTTGTGGCGTTCACGGTGACTCTGGGCTTTGTTCAGTTGTGGCGTGTAGGGAGGGTGCTGTCTGGGACCGCTGGATTGTCGGCGTGTTTGCAGTGACTCAGTTGTTCAGTTGTGACTCAGAGTGGCACATTGCACTCGCTTTTTCAGTTCGTTCCTCCGTTCCGTTCCTTGCCGGTGTGGAGTGATGAGTGTGTCTGTGGGTGTTTTTCGCTGCGCGGTCGCTGTCTGCTCCGTGTGTGTTTGCGTGCGCTGCGGGTGGTGCTGCTTTGTAGTTCACTGAAGTCGTGCTGGGACACCTGAGTGGATTCGTGTATGGGGCGCTCTGGATTGCGGGGCGCGTGGTCATTTTTTTGATGGGGTTAGAGGCTTAAGAGCGCGTCTAATAGCCCGGAAAATACGGTACTCAAACATGTGTGAATGAAATAAAACACACAACAAGCTCAACAAGAGTCAGTTGTGCGTAATATAGGACCTTTAAGACTTAAGTTATCCTTTTAATCCACCATTCATTCTCTAATAAAGCATTCCCCAGTTCCTTTTGTTGAACATATTTTGGAATAACAACCGACGCTTATGGACAACACAATTCACAAGTTGCCAAATAGCAACTTAACGAGTAGTTGTTTTCAATGCACCATCTCAGGATAGACACCAGCGCTCACCAGTGCAAGACGGCAATCTCCTCGCAATAATCGAATTCAACGCGCTGAAAAACAAGTGCCATCTTCCACCTGCCCTCCCAGGACTCTCCCAGGGCTCTAATTGGCTGCGGACCTGCTCAGATCTCTCAGTAGACCACATCCATACTAGCATGTGCTCTGCGATGATGGGGTGAGTGCGTCAGCGGTACAGTGGGGTTGAGTAAACAAGCTCCGGTCCCCCGGGTCCGGACGAGACCAGAGGAGCAGCGGTTGCCATGAAAAATCCAAACACAAGCGGCCGACACAGCACGCACAAGCTTTTATCGAATAATTAATGCTTCACAAGGAACATACATCCAGCTGATCAGCATTAGTCCAGGGAAAATAATTATATAAGGGGTGTGCGGTTAATTAAATGTAAAAGGTGCACTGTGTAACTTTTCGGTAGATGCTTGTTTCATTGCTCTGCCTGGAATGTTCCACAGTATGGCATTAAACAGCTCTACCTTGCATTTGTTAAAGTACAGGTAGTTTTATAGTAAGACTGTGCAATTAATCGAATTTTGATCACGGTTTCGATTTGTGTGTCTCTCCAAATTCATATAATCAAGTTGAAACGATTTAAGCTTAACAGTTAACAAGTTTATTTTGGCATATATTTATATATATTTAACTATATTTATTTCATTTTTTTTAAACATAGAGATTGTAAAACAGCTGGATATATAGTTTATTTTGGATACATTTATGTTTTTCTATGCCTTATTTCATATTCAAAGTGTATTTTTAAATTCATTTTATGTTTTATAACTCGCAAAACTGCTCTAAAGTAAATTTTTGTAGCCTATATTTATTTTCAGTTTGAAAGTTTTGCATAAATTATCAATAAAAAGTGTTTTTCTGAGAGAGAAAACACTGAATAAATGCATTGTGTAACTAAAAAAATTATCGTTTTAATAATCATGATTTCAGTATTTACCAAAAATAATCGAGAGAATGATTTTTTCCATAATCGAGCAGCTCTATTTTCTATCTTAAAAATACCTAGAAAAATAGGCATTCTGACTCTGAGCGGTGTTGCCTAGCCACAGATCTGACCTGTAACATGGTCTGGTTTAGTCTCCATGAAGATAGAAACATTGAACGTTCCAGACAAAGCAACAGCATCTCCAAAGAGAAAAGCATTTGACGGACCCTCCACCAGAAAAGTTACACAATGCACCTTTAAATGGATTTCAGTTACTGCTCTTGTTCTGCCACTCAAACCCTGAAGCACAGTCACTTTTCTAATCTGCATAGATGTTTAAAGGTCTTATACTACACAAAACTGATTCTTGAGAGTTTTAATCCATGTTACAATGCTTAAAATGTTATCAAAACAGACTTGGATTTGTGTTTTGTTTCATTCACACGTTTGAGTTGCACTTTATTATTAGTCTATCAACATCTAGACATCCAAAGTGCAAAATGCTCTGTTCCACCTTGTGATGTCATGAATAGGGGTGTGCAAAAATATCAAAATATCGTATCGTTTAATTCACTTAATGTGATGATACAGTATCGATATTGTGGGCTGCTGTATTGATATATCACCAAGAGTATTTTTAGGTATATTTTACTGCATTATTTTGTTACAGTTACAGTTTTGTTGCCTGTTTAGTGGAAGGAAACTCGTTTGTGCTACACATTTGATATTTTCACTTTTTTGAGGATTAAAATGGGCGTTTTTCATATTAACTTTGCACAAGAAGTGGTTTAACAAGGACATTTATTATCACAGCCACGATTTAGCCTTTATTCTTTATGGAACCGTATCGAATCAATTTGAAATATATCGTATTGAATCGAAAGTGTACTGTATCGAGATATGTATCGTATCGTGGCCTTTTTATCGAGGTATGTATTGTATCAGCAACTTCTTAGTGATACCCAGCACTAATCATGAAATGGCAGTTTTTAAGTCAACAGCTCCATTTGAGTAAAGTAAAGATTGGCAAGGCTGAAATTATCAAAATGATCACAGTGAAGGTGTGTGGAGTTTAAAAACACAGTGGAGCTCTTCCTGTTTTACCACAGGACATGATACACGAAGAACTTAGTCTGAATCTGCAGGGTTTGTGTGTTAAATGTGTGTGAATGAAACAAAACACTCCAGATCTGTTTGTGATTAGGAACCATTATACCATAGATCAGAAACTACTGTAATATGGGCCCTTTAAACAAAAAAATAACAAAACTTTACTGATAAAATATATTAGGTCTGTTCATTTTTAAAGCAAGTAAATGTTTAAAATAATTGTGATTTCAATTATGGGTAAAACACTTGAGCAGCCCTTTTTCAGTCTATCAAAAAACAGTGTTAAAACATGTCCCTAAATTCCAACACAAATGGTAAACACTACATGTTTCTGTGTTTTTTTAAATTATATTTCCACTACCTTCTCGTCTCCATGGATATTTTCTTGCTTTGCCTGGAAAATTCCACTCTATGGACTCCAAGTTAAAGATGATTTCTGTGCAGAGGTGACCCTGCTTACAGTAAGAAAGCATTTCTGAGCAATGATAGGAAATGCATTATAGATAACACAAATGCTACACAGTGGAATTTTCCAGGCAAAGCATTCAGCAAGAACGTCACCATGGAAACAAGCAAGTCGCTATTTTAAGCATCTTTTTAAGGAAACCACGACAGCGTTAAAGCTACAAGTTTGAACCAGTTTTCCTTAAGGTGCATTGTGTAACTATTATGTTGGAGATGTTGGAATGTTTCATAGTATGGCATTAAACATTTCTGTCTTCATGGAGACCAAACCAGACCAAGTTATAGATCAGATCTGTGGAGAGGCGACCCTGCTCAAAGTCAGAATGCCTGTTTTTCAAGGCATTTTTGAGCTATAAAACCACCTGTAATTGAATAAATGTAAAGGTAGAGCTGTTTAATGCCATAACGTGGAACATATCATGACATCTCCATAGAAACAAGCAGGTGACGGACCCCTAACCAAAAAGTTACACAGTGCACCTTTAGTTCATTATCAAAAACTGTATTATCTTATTACATTATGCTCACCACTGCAATGGATAAAAGTCTATTGTTCAAAGTGTTACTAACTAGCTCCCCCTGGTGGACGCAGTTGGATTTACAAGGACAAACTCGATGCCGGGTGAATGACGTAGCTTGTGTTTACCTGAGTCATCTTGTCCACAGACACAGGGATGCCGTCGATGGTGAGGGGGGGCAGGTCTGACGCCAGCTCTCCCCCCGACGGAGCGTGCTCGGCCAGGGCGTTCTCCAGGTCCTCCAGCATCATGCCTTTGTATTTTCTCACCTGGAAAAAGAGAAAAAGAAACTAGTGACATGGACAAGACAAGTAATCAAAAAATCAGTTGTATAGGAGGCAGTGTTGTCACGATACTAAAATTTCAAACTCGATTTCAATACCAAGGAATAGACTCTTTCTTTTTACAGAATGCCATTTTCAACATTAAATCATAGTATTTTCTTTTATATTCCCAAGTTGTCTTATATCTGTGTAATCCCTCAGTAGTTCAGGTAGGTTCCATAGTCTATGTGCTCTTATACTTTCTCTGATACAGCTCAAGATCATTCAGGAAAGGTTCATTTCTGTCCTGTAAATGTAACTTTATAGTATGAATGTCTGTTCAAATGAGTATCTAATTTCAATACTACCGTATTTTTCAAACTATAAGTCGCACTTTTTTTTACATGGTTTGGGTGGTCCAGCGACTTATATTCTGGTACGACTTATATATTAAAATTTTCACACTGACAACCGTGAGAGGTTCTAGTCTTGTGTGTCAGTATCTGCTGCTCCTGTTCCTCCTGTACCACTGTCACTTCACTTTACTGCGCATTTCTCCTGCAGAAAAACCCTCTGTCCTGCTGCAAGTAGTGAAATATGCAGCCGAAAACGGTAATTGAGCAGTAGAAAGAAAGTTTGGAGTGAGTGAGAAACTTGTGAGGGACTGGCGGAAAGTGGGGATGGAGAACACAGCTTCACGGTAACCAGGAGGATGCACCATGCAACTTTCCTGGAAGTTACTGGATGGATGGACACAGCCTGGACTTCAGTGACACCGAAACCATCCTGTCGGGATTCAGAAAGGCCAAAATAATTCTAACTGGAACTGATGCTGAGTTTGGCGACAGCTACGTGACAGCTACCTCTGGAGGTCGAGGCGTTGCCATGGATTGACAATAATTTACTATAGTTCTATGGGAGTTGTTCAGAAGTGACACCGAGGATGAAGAATTCAATGGATTTAGTGATTTGGAGTGAAATCGAGAGTTTGCTAAACTTATGTTCTGTTGTTTATGCTCTAGTTATCTGAAGAACTGTTCATATGTTACGTTAACATACCAGACGCCTATTCAGTCTGTTGTTCCCTATTCTGTTGTTATTACTATAATTTGCCTTTAAAGATGAAATGTTGGTTCCTGGTCTCTGATTTTATAAAATAAATTTCTCTCAAAAAGTGCGACTTGTATATGTTTTTTCTTCTTCATTATGCATTTTTTTGCTGGTGAGACTTATACTCCAGAGTGAATTATAGTCCAAAAAATACAGTAGTTTAATTATTGATTAGTATTATATTCAGATTTTTCTGGAGGAGCGTCTGCAGTGGCTTGTCTCCTGTAATTAGTGATTAAAACATTTTCTGTTGATCCAAATTTATATAACAGAAGACATTTCTAGGAAGAATAACTGACCACATTCTCGAGAGGAGCAGCCCCAAAAACCTTGAACACTGGGTTTGGTTTGGAGGGAGAGATACACAGAACTATGGCCTGCTGACCCACTCTGGTAGTGTACTCGTCTAGTGTGGCTCGGAGTTTCCTGAACAACACACAAACAGTAAAATTACAGTTAAAAATAATATGAAATGTTACTGAAATCCCAAAACGATGTAGTATTATCTCTTATATGTTCTTACCTTAATAGCCGAGTTTGTTGCCTCTTGCGAATTGACGGATTTGATTCAAAAATATGTGGTCTTTTCCTTTTCTTTCCTGTAGCTACAGCTGCTGCGGCCGCCATGCCAACAGGTCCTAAAAGACAAAAAATATATTCAAAATTATAAAAACTTTGAAGATAGCAAAACACATTTCTGATTTCAGTTTGGGCTACATGCATGAAAAGCGCTTTATAAATTAAGTTATAATCAAATCAAACTTCAACAGCAAAGAAATCCAACTGGAGGAGCTAATATAAATAGTGAAATTGTGCCATCTGCTGGTCAGCCTAAAGTATTACAGTCAGATTTTCTCACTTGAGGACAAATAGAGGTAGTTGTGGTGAAGTTATTAGGGTGAAGCACAACAGACTGTCATACAAGCAGGAAACTGCACACATTTTCTTTAACGGTCATCAATTTGCATTCTTTCAAAACTATGACAATATTTTTCAGATATATGCAACGGGAAAACAGCTGTGTTTCCATTCTCCAATTGAATATATGTTTCTGAAAATCTTATACATTTCTATGGACACATGCAGCACTCATCCCTTTTACTCCTTTCCAAATATACATTGGCCAGCTCTTTAACTGTGATCAAATGATTATTTTATAGGCATAGTAATGTACAGCCTGGTTCATCAGCCAGTTTCCACGAAGTGAAACCGTCTGACCTCGCAGCATTAGTATTTGTTCGCTCGATGGTAGGCAGGTACTTTTTTAAAAATTTAACCAATTGCTGCTATTTAAGCTTTTCCCAAATCCCTTAGGAAGAAGGGCAATAACGTCTTTCCCCTTGATAAAATTCACCAAACATTCTCTTTGTTCCAGCTTTAAATCCTCAATCTCAGGAATCGTTGCCAACACAGAATGTATGGCTCTTTGCTGATTGGCTGGTGCCTGAACTCGCACTTCCAGGGTTTTTGCAAACCGTCAAGTGTATTCCGATTCCTGACCTAATCGCTGGAGTGAAATGAAATTGAGCGGAGTCAGTAGGTGGCACCAGCCTGGCTAAGTAATGTCTACATAATACACACAAACACAAAACCTGGCTTAAGTAGTGTAAATAAACTTAAACTAAAATGATAATACAACCAATACAAACAAATCTGTACCTGCGGCAGCCAAATGTGCGGTGACCTCATCAGTCCCCGCCGAGTTGAGGATGTCTGTGTCGTCGTACGGGTCGTCATCGGGGGACGACGTGGAGTCCTCGTCTGCACTCAGCATGGACGCCTCTGTGTATGTGGCCACGTGCACCTGGACAAACTCAGGAAATAATGACTTCAAAATTTAGAAACACATAGATGAATGGAAAAAATACAGTGCTCTCCGCTTATACTGGCACGCTTGACTATATGATGAGCAAAAAAAACTAAAACAAAATGTGTTTTCTTGAGTACAAAAAATATCATAAATCTATGCTCGGGTTAGAAATGAAAACATTTTAATTTCTGCAGTATATATCGGCGTTCTTTAAAGGTGCATTATGTAACTTTTCTGGTAGAGGGCTTATGAAGGCTGATGTTTGCCAGGAATGTTTCTTACTATGGCATTTATCTGATTAGAAGTTACACTGTGTATCTTTAAGACTAATCAAATCTACATTCATTATAACAAATTATAAGATTGTCTCCATGGAGATAGATCAGACAGTCTACCAAAAACATTCCGTGTCTATCTCCATGGACACAAGCAGGTAATATTTCCAGGCCAAGTTAAAAGTAAAAAATCTGTCAATGGAGACGGAGAGGTAGCCTCACTCACATTAAGAATACATGTTTTTCCAAGAGATTTTTGAGCAGTTAAAACAACCATAACTGAAATAATGCAAAATAGATTTGTTTAATGCCATGTTGTGGTTGTTGTGGTAGCCTGATTTAACCAATCGCTGCCATTTGGTCGTGACCTATGTGATGCGCCAAATCCCGTAGGAAGAAGGGCAATAACGTCTTTCCCATTGATAAAATTCACCAAACATTCTCTTTGTTCTGGCTTTAAATCCTCCGTCTCAGGAATCGTTGCCAACACAGAATGTCTGTCTTCATCTACATCCATCTCGACCGCTTTGTTTACTGTTGTGCTGTACCACAAAAGGGACTCAGTCATGGCTTCACAGCTCTTCACTGATTGGCCGGTGCGCGGTCTACAGCTTCCAGGGTTTTTGCAAACTGTCTAGTCTATTCCTGACCTAGTTGCTGGAGAAAAATGAAATTGAGTGGAGGCACTAGGTGGCGCCAGCCTGACTAACTTTGTGGAACATTACAGGCAAATCAAAAATTTCTCCACCCAGACAAGCAACTGCTCATAAGACTCCCCATAGGAAAAAAATACCTACTGCACCTTTAAAATGCATATTCAAGGAAATACAGTATACTTTTTTTGTTGTTGTTTCCCAGGAACAAATAAATCCGTCACAGCAAATTTCATATTTCTCCCCAAACTTTGAATTCTAAGTAAAATGGAAGCAGGATTATTCCAAAAGTTAAAAAAAAAGTTGCATCTTGGGAAACTGTTATACAACATACAGCAACCTACATCACCATAGGTTTTATCAGGCGTGCCAATATCAAAGGAAAGCACTGTGTGAATGGTTTAAATGGAAAAATCTGCTTATCCACACCTGCTGGACCTGGCTGACCGCGCTGGCCTCGATGGTGGTCATGTGCTCCGTCTGGTGAACTGTGTGCTCCTCCATAACAGCAAAGCAGGTCGATCACAGCTCAAAGCAAATGAAGACTGGGGAGGAAATGAAGAACAAATCAAGAGTCAATCAAACACTGCGGAAACATGAATATTTGATGTTGAAATATTATATCATATTTATATAAAAAAATATAATTTCCCAGTGTGGACAGCAACAACATGTCAGCTCATAATATGCATAAAAATGCAATAAACAAACAAACAAATAAAAAAAACAAACAAAAAAACAAAAACAGAAAAAAACAAAAAACAACACTTATTCTTTTAAATCCCTACAAATTATTAGAGGTTAAATGAATATGACTAATAATTATAGGGTGATATTGGTCATTAATAAATCAAAAACATGATTGAGAATATTCAGTTCAAAGTTAGTTAAAAAATACATATATAATAGATTATATTTATTTCTATTTGTTTATTGATAACAAAGGAAATTCTAATTATTTATCACTATATTACATTATATTATTTATATTATAAAACTATAATTTCCGAGTGTGAACAGCGCTTTATGTTGCATTTTTTGTACAAAAAGCGCTCTATAAATAAAGTTTTATTGATTGATTGACTGACAGCGACAGTTCTGTAGTTCATAATATGCATAAAATAAAAATAAGAAAGAAAGAAAAAAAAGAAAAACAAAATATACCTTTATATATTAATTTAATTATATGAAGAAATTATATGCAGAATCAAACCACAACATTATTCTAGGTTAAAGGAATGAGAATAATAATTATTGGCTGATCAGTATTAACAGTTAAAAATGTATAATCTTTAATATATATTCTTTTTTATATATGCAATTTTTTCATTATATCTTTCTAACTATTTGCATAATGGACATTGTCATAATCAGATGTTAAATTTGTGCTTACGTGACTTCACAGTTCAACTTATGTACGCTTATTATTAAACAACCGCTTATATTGTGTTATTATTGGAGGGTGATAGTTGGTGCAGAAGATGTGAGGGACAATGAGGCTAATGAGGTTCATAAAGGGTTATTTCTGATGCATTATGCGAACATAAATGACGTTATTTGACCTAAACATGAGAAAAACGTCTAAAGCAAATAGGTTACGCTGCTGTAAACTAAACTGTATCAGATTTGTCCATGCATGAGATCAGATCAGTGCTCCACCTCCTCCCCTCTGAACAAGAACTGAACGGTGCAGACTTGGGATGACAAGACGTCCCTTTTTTTTATCCATAACAGTCCCAATTTTGATCCCGGTATCCCCTGTCCCGTCAGATTTACCCAAAACTATTAATTTGTCCCAATTTATACAAAAAAATGTCCCTATTTTTGACCAATCTGATCCATGGCAACAGTAAAGACAGGCATACATTGTCATCTGTTTAGGTAAAATACAGACAAGCTGCTTAAAAATGACTAAAAAGCAAAGAAAATGTGATTATACTGACACATTTTTTGTTTAATTACGCACTTATTCCCCAATTTTATTAACACTAACCAGCAAAAAACCGAGGATGTCCCAGTTTTTTGTTTTTTTATTATTTTATTTTGAAATTCTGGTCACCCTTTGCAGACTGACTCCATAACATAAGATTGGATTTCTGCAAATATTATCATTATTAATAATTTGGAATTTCTGTGTTTAAAACGAAGCATTATAGAGTTGTAATGTGCAGGTTATGGATGTAGTTTATCCTCTGTCCTCTCTCTGCTAGTGGCTTCATCTGTGCTAGGCTAACAGTGCCCTACATTTAGCTAACCCGCTAGCCCGCTAACCATTTCGCGGTCAAACCAACGCGATCTAAAATGACAACAGCCCAAATAAAGGCTCGAATCGATGCTGAGAGCCATGCCGTGCACGAAATCGCAACAAAACGCGCGATGGAGCTGTGATCATTGAAAATACGGGAGCAGCTAGCACGAAACCCGCGCAATGTTAAACAAAACAGCCATAACAGGCCTCGGCCCGTGCGTCTCATCCATTGCGTGCCGTATTGCGAGACATCAATGCGCGCCTAATGTGCAAATTGTTCATTAAATCGCAATAATACACGCTGAAAATCTGCTCCACACTGCATCTAAACAGCCTCTCGCTCCCCCAGTGCTGCCGGGTGCAATGATGCGGCTGCGCCAGGGCTGAAATATATGGAGATTGCGCGGTAGGGCACTAACCTCAGAGCGGCTGCGCTACTCCGGGCCTGCGCCGTGTACAGATGATCCAGCACAAATGGAGGACGGAGACACTACAACAGCGCCCACTGCGATGCTCTGAACACTGCAGGCTGCACGGAGCTGCACGTAGACGGCTTCACGGACCCGGCTCTGCAGTGACATGTGCGCAAAATGGTACGGAGATACGTCAAAATGTGCAGTTGTGAAAGAAATGCAACACGGGTAATGTTAGATGAACCAAAACATCAATAAATCCAAAATTATAACTCTAGCATAAAGCAAATTTAAAGTTAAAACGAGTAAGTTCTTATTACATTCTTTTTAACCTACAGATAAATGAAATAGTGAACCAAAAATATCTTAAAGTGGCTATACTTACTTACTCTTAGATCAAAACTGACATTATATTTGTCCGCGACCCGCAAACAAGTGAGTTTACGAGTTTATTTGGTCTTTTTATTAACCCGATCGTGGTATTTCCCACAGCGCGTAAACAGCACACAGAACCTGCAAAATTGCGTCCTCTTGTGCACAAAATAAAGCACTGCAAAATATTCAAACCTTGAAACATGTGATGGTGGTGATAAGAACTGCAGTGGAGCTTTTTGTGGCTTTATATCGACACTGGCAATGTTAAATTAACTGAACATTTGCATTTTTGTTCTATACCTTGTTTCATAAATAATCTATTTTTACTAGCCTATTCAGTATTCAAGTCACCACTGTTTGGTTAATAATCTTATTTTAAAGTACTGTTACTTTACCATACTCTTAGGTGTACTTTTAGCTAAAGTATATCCTCCTGGGACCCAAAGAAAAAAGTGTATTGCATATACACACTTTCTACTTTCTATGTGATTTTCTAACTATTTGGAGGTAAATGAACACCTTAGCATTTAGATTTTGTTCATTTTATTTATAATTTTGAAACATGTCATCTGTAATGGACGCTGAGGACATTTTGGTGTTAAATCCATGCGGAGTTAACAACCTAACAAAAACAACTTTTTTGATGATTAACATCTCTGACAAGCTTCTAGAGTCGCCTCAAAAAGGTTTTAGACTCTGTTAATTCCTTTTCCTTTTTTCCTTCTCCTGTTGAGTTTATTTTTTATTCCTGGACATGATAGTACCCTATAATCCCCGAGCCATATTTAGGCAGAGGAACCTAGCCCTCCTATTTAAAGTCTATCTCAAAACACTTTAAAGATAAGACTTGTTAACTCAATGTCCACTATAAAGGACACAAATGAATCTCAGGAGGATATTAGGCCTATACTCTTCTCATCTCTGAGGGAACATTACAGTTTTGTCTCAACAGTTTGAAAGCACTTTTTAGCACGTTTTAACAGAATCTGGCTCTTATCATTTTAAGACACACTGTTAGGCTATTTTTGGTGGACAAAAATACACAGAGATGTTATTGCTTTGCCTGAAATGTTCCGCAGTATAGCATTATGTTCCTGTTTTTAAATCACTCCTAAAAGCACACATTTTTTCAGTGAAGTGAAAAGTACATTTCTTGTTGAGTATCTTATTGTTTCTTAGTAGTTGTATTGTGTTTATATTGTGTATCGTGTCCTTGTCTATTCTGTGCTTGTGTACAGCACTTTGGCCAGCTGTAAAGTTTTTAAAGTGCTTCATAAATAAAGTTGGTATGGTATTAAACTCTGGACATGTTCAAATGCTGATACTTTAAATTCCAGTAGTTAAGCCTGTTTACTTTTTATGTTGCTGCGGTTTAGAGTAGTGTGAGCTTCTGGTAGGTAACATCTGTACTTGACCACTAGACGGCGTTTTTTGTCATTTAATCCTCATATATTTTGTCTGTAAGAGGAAGTGGCCTTGAAGCATCATTGTTGCGCTCTCTGCAGGGGTCCCGGTTACTCCAGCGCCCCCTGGAGGTTTACATTAGAGTGATGACAGCAGTTTGTTTATGTCTCACCGAACGTCACTGTGCATCAGAATCAAGCGTGAGACAGAGTTTAACACAAACACACACACTGACCTGCTGCTAAGTGTCTGCACCTTTGACATGTGCCGACAGCTGCTAACACGTCTCACTACGTCTGTAAAGGATGTTGTGAAGTAGGGAACTTTCTCCTTGGAGATAGACAAGTTTTATGCCATAATGTGGAATATTACAGTTGAACTTTTCCATGGAAACAAGCAAGAAGAGGTCCTCCTTCAGGTCAAATAAGGGACCGGTTTGTGGAGATGTTTATCAGTGCAATAAAAATAACCAAAATGAAAAAACATGCTTCTATTTTTAAGATCAAAAGTTACATACTATGTAAAGAAGAATAAACAATTTCAGTCACAGTATTTCAGCCTTTATTTGGTTAAAAATGTGTTTTAATTGACTACAAAAATAATCGTCAGCTGTAATTTTGAAGTCAAGGATGTGTTGTTTTGGCTTTACAGTCTTATTTCAAGTCATAAAGGTTGTGTTGGAACAATCACAAGGAATAAAACAATGTACAAAGACCTCCCAGATGGTGAACGACAGAGGTGGGGACTTGCAATTTGAGACATGGACTCAAGACAGACTTGAGTCACAATTTTTAGGACTTGAGACTTGACTTGATAAAATAGACCAAGACTTGGGACTTGATTTGGACTTGAGCCCTTTGACTTGAGAAGACTTTCTATTTTGACCATAATGATTTGCACTAAGAAGACAAGAAAAAGAAAATAATTAGCATTTCTACATCTCAGTATAAATATAAATATAAATAGTAGGGGTGTAACGATATCCAAATCTCACGATACAATATCGTCATGGTATGAACCTCACGGTATGATATTTATTGCAATATTTTGTGGAGGCTATCAAAACTGTTAATATGTGACTTTTTCCTCTTAAAATGCCATGACAAGACTCAGTCCAAAGAACTAAGACTTAAAAGTGCTTAAAAATTTGATTTCTTTATGTAGTGTACACTGAAATGGACCAAAGGATGTAGTTCTCTCTCTCTTTTTTTTTTTTAGCTATTGTTGTACCATAACTCTTCATTCAAGTAAAGAGACTTGTAATTTGATATATTACGATGGGCTACGATATTATTGTGGGAACTTTGACGAAACGATATCACAATATATTGGTTATTGTTACACCCCTAATAAATATTCATATGTAAATAAACAGTACAGTGTAACTTAAAATTCGTATAAATTGAAATGACTTGAAGCTCAAAGCAGATGACTTGGTCTTGAATTGGACTTATTGGCCAGTGATTCGAGACTCAACTTGGATTTGCCTATTTTTGACTTGGGACTTGACTCAGACTTGAGGTCAAAGACTTGAGACTTGCAAAACAACGACTTTGTCCCACCTGAACAATACACAGGAAAAGGCCCTTTATCTATACAGGTTTAGCCAATACTGGTATGAAATTAATCTTTTGTTTCTGTTTTATTGAAAGTGAGTCTGGAAATGTGAAAATACTATATTTTTAAGGCAGGTGAGGGACACAACAAATGTAAAAGCCCCTGCGTTCATCTCTCCACTTTTAGAAATGACATATAATGATGATTTTTTAGTAAATACCATGTTAATAGTGTGAATAGAAACACTGTCGTTGTGTCCTTTGTCAAGACACTTTTTGGATTTCTTACTGAAAGCAACATTATAGTACAAAAAGAATCTCATCTGTGAACTTCTGACATTTCGCCTCAACTATCTTAAAAGCTTGACTAAAAAACTTTGTCCACTGGGGGGCACTGCTGCACCACGGATCAGTCTAAATCAAAACTACTGCTGGTTTTGCCTTGAATGATAAAACTGTTCATTCATGGTTTACCCCGAGAACGTTTGAAAATGTAACATGCCGATTTGTCGTACAATTAGCACGAGACCTTCTCAAGACCTTTTGGATAGTGGACATGATTATAATTTCATTGATTATTACATTCTATAATCACCAGAATAGGCTAAACTGAAAAAAAAAAAAAAAAAAAAAAGAAAATAAAACTGGCTTGAGTTTGGTATTTTCAAAGCTGACATTTTGGAGATGTTTGCTCTTTAAATGTGAAATAAAACATTCAGGAAAAATCTTTGTTTACTTCTTGTATGGAGAAAAATACCTCCATGTTAATCCACATATCGCAAGGGACCAGAATGATGAAAAATGAAGACTGTTGCCGTAGCGATTGATGATTTAAAGCATAAAATCAATCATTTAAATAGTGAAAAGATCTAAAATGTTGCTTATAGGAAGCTGAAGTTTGAAAACCATTTCACAAAGGTCTAGATGTTCTTTCACAAATTAAGCAAATAAGTAAGATTTTGTAAGAACATCTTTATGGAGACAAGCAGGTGACGAACTCCACAAAAAATACATAATGCATCTTTAAATCTCCCACTCCTAAATTATTCTATGACTCTCACATTGCCATTATTCACATGCATGATTTTTTATTTTTTATTTTTTTAACACATTCACGTCTTAAGCACAAACTATTTTCACAACATATCAGGCTTTTAAAGGAATAGTCCGTAATTTTGGACATAGGACCTCATTTCCTAGTGAGCCAGAGTGTTGGAGACGTGTGGAGACACTTTTTTAAATATTCCATCCAGTCCTTGTATTTGCAGAGGTCACTGGTGTTAGACTAGTGCATGTCAATGGTCATAGTTATCCTGCCACTAAAAACAGTCTTATCCACTCCACAAAACACCCGAAGCAAATCTATTATTACACCAGACTGTCGATGTGAATGTCTGTGTTGATAGAATCATTTTAGAAGTAAAACCATAGATTCTATAAAAGAAGTAGACTAAGCGAGTGTGACCCATAGCGTTCAGCGTTCGCTCAAATGAAGCTCGCGATGCTCACGGTTACAGAAGCGAATCTGGAGCCAGGCTTTATGTTATGAATAGGATTTTTCTTGACAGACAAAATAGAGAAAAACAAAATCTGAATCATGTAGAGTGGGTTAATATGCATATTTTAAGACCAAAATGACGAGGCTCACTGCAGCAGTTACAGAGAGAGGGGCCACACGATCATAATGTAAGTCAATTGGAGCCAGAGTCAGAAGGAGCCGGAAGAGTCGCTTGGAGAACTTCCTATTTGGTACACGGCGGCTAGTGCATTAAC